TAAATATAAAGATGGTCAACCCAATGACAGGTTTGTTTACAGGTCATCATTTCTTTTGCATACTATAACTAAGTTTGAATTTATATTTCAGGAGAAGAAACGAATAAAAATGTCATCTCAATGAATTTTTATGCATATCGATTGATGATTCGACAAGATGTTGACAATCATCTATTGAGATATCGCSGGTTGTTTCAACAGTACTGCGTTGACATGTACGTCAAGGTCGAAAGGATGGTGGAGCAGATTATGACGTTGAAGGAGGAGGAAGAGAGGAGGAGACAGGCAATTGAAAGGCGACGACGTTTGCCATCCTAAAAAGAGCTCAGCGATTCATCTCCTACAGGCTGCTATCAACAAATTATTAAAGTTGACGATCTTGATTTGTATAATATTGTCTGTAAATCTGTATATTTTTGTTTATTTGGTTGTAAGCCCCCGAGCCACTCTCCCTGACAGTCTTACCCTGGTGCAAGCTGGGATAATTCGGTCGGGTCAGCGGGGGTACTAAAACGCGCTGCGTAATGTATTGATGTAGGTATGATTATTAGTGTAGCCATTGTAATTACATTGTTTTTCCTTTGTGTTCGGTACGAGATGCCGGTCTTGGACTTCACCCTACGTTATCTTCGTTACCACACTCGCCGCGCGACCGTTCCGATATCTCCGGAGAGGGAACCGGTATCGGCGTGCTGCCGACGGTCGTTACCCCGCCGCACGCTAGTCCGCGGCCGTGCTTTTTAGTCGTATACAATAGTCACGAGTCGCGAGTCGCTGTTCCGGAGCCGTTTTTTTCTTTCCGTAGGCCGGAGTTTATGTGACTATTGCGAACCGGCGCGCCGTCGTCGTCAATAACGCCATCTTGGCTTTCCGTGCGGTCGAGCCGTCTGTGGCTCTGTATTGTTTTTTGTTCCGTGTCGTGCCCCTCGTTGCACACACAAATCGCGTGTTGTGGCCGCCCGTGCTAAAACCGCAGTATTCCACCGTTATCGCCCGTCCGCTGTGTGCGTAGTGCGATCCGTCGCGTTCCTCACGTGTTGAGTCTGGCCGTCCGTCGGCTGTAAAATTTTGGTCCAAGTCGACGTTGTGGTGTGTCGTCGCCGCCCAGTCAACCACCTTCATCAGGCTGCTCATTATGGTACCGGGACAACTGTAGCACCATCGGTTGTCAACACTCGTCGCTATCAGTCTCGTCGCTATCAGTCCCGCGGCTATCAGTCTCGCCGCTATCAGGTCGTACACACGTACCATAATATTTTGTTGTTTACCTACCTACCGTATTGATTTATTCGCGAAATTTGAATTATTATTTGTTTGTATTGCTATTTTATTCCCACATATTTATTTTGCCGTTCGTATTGTGAACGTGCCACATATATTTACTAACACTAGTTTTAAGTGCATAGAATATTAGAATTATTTTTTACCGACCGTTACAATAAATCGTAACTAATACTGTCATATATTTAAATATTTTCCTTTTCTATTTCTCTATCATCTTTCCGCCTTACAGTCCACTAATATCGCACGACAATTATTACCATACTCCATTATAGTTCGAGTGCGGGCAATACCTGGCGATCACCTCGCCGTCGCCGCTGCACGGCTGCTCTAATCAGGTTGCCTCACCATACATTTTGGTCCTTGCGAGCCGGATAGCTCAATTTTGGTATTTATTGTCTTGTTCACAATGCCGGGTACTTCTAATGTGACTAAAGCTCAGCGTGCTATTACGCGGGCACGTTTCATGCGTGATCGTCATTTTGAATCAATTCGTGAAATGCATACACTCGCTGTGCATGTCGAGTCAGGCGATGTCGAAAAGTGTGAGCTTGACGTACGTATTGATTCGTTTGAGACAGTTGTTTCAAAATTTCGTTTAGAACAGGAGGCTGTTGTCGATGCACTTATTATGAATGACAATATCGGGGAATTCAACGAAGCTGATGAGCCTGTCTCCAAGTCCGTTGAAGAAATGTATTTTAAAATAAAGCATATCATATCTCGTTTATCAAAAAAAGATTCTCAATCGACTACGATAGCCKCACCAACGCTAAGCGCGTTACCGAAAATTGAGTTGCCCAAATTTAACGGCGATGTTTTGTCTTGGTCTCTCTTTCGAGACACATTTTTATCTGCCGTTCATGAGAACCCGGATATAAGTGATATTCGACGGTTCCAGTATCTTTTAATGTGCGTAACGGGATCGGCACTTACCATAGTTAAAACKTTTCCGTTATCGGCGTCAAATTACAAATTAGCGTGGGGAGCGTTATTAAATCGTTTCAATAATCAACGACTTTTAGCTACCGCCCACGTCGATAAACTGTTTACTTTTAAACCAATAGCGCAAGAATCATTATCTGCATTGAACGCATTTGTCAATGTTTTTCGGGAAAATATTGCCGCCATAAAGGAACTCGGTGTCAATGACCTCGTCGGTTTCATTCTATTTCATCTCGCTTCAAAGGCACTAGATTCAGCCACTCGTCGTTCGTTCGAAATAAGTTTGGCGCCAAATCAAATGCCAGATTTTGATTTATTATTAGAATTTGTTCAACAACGCTGTAAAGTTCTCGAAAACATACAAGGTTCTGTAAGAGTTGAGCGGGCCGAGAAGAATGTTACAACCGGTAGATCTCGTCAAACTTCAAAATCGTTTATGTCAACTACATATGAAAAATCGGTTAATCAAAAACAGTTTAAATGTGCGTTCTGCAACGAAGCTCATACTATTTATCGATGCGTGGCTTTTCAGCAGACTACCGTCGAAAAGCGTCGAGATTTTGTATCTACCAACAAATTATGTTTTTCATGTTTGAGTACTTTGCATATGGTAAATAAATGTTCTTCAAAGTCAAGTTGTCGCATTTGTCAGAAACGACATCATACCTTATTACACTTAACAACGCCAACTTCAAACATCACGCAGGTTTCGGATCAATCCAACACCAACGTCGTGGATTCATCTATCCCTGGGTCTAGCAGTCAAGTGCAATTTTCTGGAACTTCACGAACAAACTCCATGGTAGTATTTGGGACAGCAATTGTCCGTGTAAAGGACAGTTGTGGCGTTTTACATTCTGTAAGAGTTCTTTTGGACAGCGGTTCACAAATTTCAGCCATCACCAGTAGTTGTGTGTCACGCATAGGTCTCGCCAAGCACAAGTGTTATACCGAAATTGTTGGTCTTGCACAAAATCCTGTTGCAAAAATAAAAGGCGTGACCAATTGTCAATTTATTCCACACCATAGTACAAATTATACATTTAAATGTAGTTTCATAATTGATCGGTAATTAAAAAATATTTTTCTCTACTACATTTGTGTTGTATTTATAGTGTTCATTATAATTTAAAGTAACCTGTACACGAATAACACGACTTTGACTACGTAATATTATATTAATTTATTTAATATTTTAATATCAYAGTAAACAACTTTGATGTGTATTTTAAGGGTTTATCCAACTGAAAWMRGTTTAATGTCACTATATATTAATTTAGTCATATATTCACTCAATTTGAACATATATTTGTCTAAAAATTATATTTGTATTTTTTTGTGTCGAGAATCAAATAATTAAAAGTTATGACCATTATAGACAATCCAATTTCAATAGGCTGTGAATTAAATTTACTTCATTTTACCACTATCTGACCTATTTCAAATTCAAAATAATGTTCTCGCGTTTAAAAATAACTATAATTCATTTGCCTTTATCTGCCCCTCTTAATTGTAGGGGCTTTAATTGAAATATTTAGTGAGCTCGCGTCGTACAATATATCTACCGCGGATCACTGAACTGATAGCTCCATACCGTCTGTTTCACGGCCTATATTTATTAATAATCGTTATTCGCGACTGCTATCGATAAGTTATTAGTGTTATTACATTTTAATGATWATACAGGTCGTACTGTAACAATGATTTGATCAGTTTTAGTTATACTTTCGCATTGTAACAGTTAATGTTGTGTTAGTTTATTCAAAACAATTTCAATCGAAAACAACATTATACTTGTGCCAAAGCCCAATATTGACAATTTTGTTATTTTTGTAATTACAATGGATCAAGAATGTGAAGGTTTGAATGTATTTAATTATAAACATAAAACGGTATTTTAAAGTTATATTTATTTTAGCTGGTACAAGTCATKGTGGATACAATGACTACACATATGAAGATTTATTTAATTTTTTGCGTCAAAAGATTTCTTATGTAGATTAAAAAAGTATTAAACATACCTGATTCAACGTTTCTGATACTTGTGCTATGGACTAGCGTCCCGCATTACATAGTTCACGGTCAACTAGGTACCAGCCGCATCAATCTRGGRAAGGGTGCGACGATCCTTGTAAATGTAGGAGAGACAGCATTTCTGGAAATCATTAAAATTAGGGACATACTAAATCATGGGA